GGGGTCACCCCTCATCTTTCTATTTCGTCCTGTTTCCCCAGCCCTTCCGTCATCACTGGTGCACTTGTCTGGTCTGGAGTTCATTGTCAAACACGTTGGAACTCCTCAAACAGCCCTGCTGTGGTGTCACAGACGATTCATTACGCTGACGGATCATAAAAGGTCAATTTCCTGGGTGATTTATTGTGATGGGAGCAGGGGAGAGGTTGTTTACCATTCGAAGACAGAGTCCTGTGAATGGATTAAAACTTTGGGGAGAATTGATGGTCACACCTCAAGGTACACTAACTCAGAGTCAGGACCGTATTCTGCCTGAATAGTAAGGGATGCCTTCTGGCCACCCAGCTGAGTGTCCCTTGTTCTGGATGGTTAGAAATCGCCTCTCAGTATCAGCTCCTGTCTGTACTTGTAATCATCTTATCTTTGCCTGGTATCTGACTGGGATGTCACACATCATCTGTACTGGTACTCTAATTCCAGCCATTCTCACAGAGTGGACTGTCATTCTCTCACCAGGATGGTGTGGTAGGTTTCAACTCCTGATATTCTGGAAAGACCTGGTGCTGGTTGTCAGAGCCTTGGGTCTGGTTCCAGCTCCTTCATGAGGTGCTGAGAGACCCTGGACAGAGCAGTTAACTCTCAGCCTCAGTTTCCTCATCGTGAGTGAGAGGGCCGGACCAAGTGCTTCCTTGGGTCACACTATTGCTGGCTTTCCATGAAGTAACTCCTGGTAACGGGTGCTAGGAGCCCGCACAGCTTTCAGTCTCCCTCCCCCGAGGGCTGAGCGCTCAGGGGCAGCCGTGGGAGAAAGGTAGGGGTGGGTGCTGCTTGGTGCTGTGTTTCCTCAGCACTAAGCCTAATGAGACCCTCCGTCCTTCTTTCTTTCAGAGCTCTGACGAATGTGACAGACTCAGTGGATGAAGAGCGGCTGAGAGGCTGAGGCCTGCGGGAGAAGATGAGCGGTAGGCAGCCGCCCTGTAGTCCCTGCTTAGAGTCAGCGCTCGGGCTGGGAGGGACTGTCACCCTGGGTCCCGGCAGTGGCCCCGGGGAGGCCTCGGGAGACATTCCCCAAGCAGCAGTGCCGGCCCAACCCGTGCACGTCAGGTGTGAACTAGAGAAAGTGGCAGAGAGTGAGAGGGAAGGCTTGCCATGTCGTGATGGACCATAGACCCGCCACAGCTGACCATCTCCCTTCACTGACCACCTCCTTAAGTTAGCCCAGTCCCCATAGACTGGACGTGTAGCGCACGTGTGCATCAGGGCAGTGGGCCCAGTTCCTCACGGTGACCACCCCCACGTGTTGGCCAGTTTGTTACAGTCCTTCGAGTAGTCAACTTACAGAGGTTCTACTGTGTATCTGTAGAGTGGTCTTCATCCCTATACATCAACTCCTAAAATCCTCAGAAGCTCCTGAGTGAGGCATCTTTCCGTATGCTAATGGGATGAGTAGGGCTGGCAGCCCCTAGGAAGCTTCAGGGAAGACGAGGGCAGAATTAGAGGGATGGGACTTTTCATCCTCACCCCCCAACCTCCTAGGAGAGAGAGGCT